GGCAGCAGCCGCCGTGCAGCCGACGTCATCGAGCTTGGCCTCGAACGCCGCGACCTGCTGGAGTTGCTCAGCCCGCGCTTCGGCAAGCTGCGCCTCCAGGGCGGCCGCCCTGCGCTCCGCTTCGGCCACGAGCTCCACGTGGTCGCTCGCCGCGGTGTCCGCCATGCTGTCGGTGTCGCTGTCCTTCGGGAGCAGCAGGGCGGCGCCGACATGCTGGCGTATCGAAATGGGCGGATGGGCCACCACCCTCCTCGCCTTGTTCACAGCGCTGAGCTCCTTCGCAGGCGGCCGCTGGCTCCTCGCGACCAGCTCGCTGGCGACCTCCCCGAGGGCAGGTAGCCTTGCGCCCCAGCTCCAGGCGCTGGCCCGCTTGCTCCCAGACAACCTACAGGTCCTTGAAAACACGGCCTTTTCCCTCGGCGATGGCCTGCGCGCCGCCGCCACCACCAACTGCGCGCGCTGCTGCCACCTCCACCGCTCGGCGCAATAGGGACTCCTGCAGCGCCCTGCGCACGCGCTGGATCCCGAAGATCGCATCCAAGACTGCGCCCCACCCGATGCCAGACCCAGCCGGCGATCTGCTCGTCCCCGTCTCCACGCGGACCGAGGCGGGAGAGTGGAAGGCGGGAAGCACGCCCCCGCGACCAGGCGCAAGCCAGGGAACCGCGCCCTTGAGCCAAAATTGTTACGGATGTGTGTGTGTGTGTGTGTGCGTGTGTGTGAGTGTGTTGTATGTTGTATGTTGTGTGTTGTGTGCTGTGTTGTGTGTTGTGTGTTGTGAATTGTGTGTTGTGTGTTGTGTGTTGTGAATTGTGTATTGTGTTGCGTTGCGTTGCGATGCGTTGTGTTGTGTTGTGTTGTGTGCGTGCGAGGGCGTGCGTGCGTGCGTGAGTGCGTGCGCGCGTGCGTGCGTGCGTGCCTGCGTGCGTGCGTGCGTCGTGCGGTGTGTGTGTGTGTGTGTGTGTGTGGTGTGTGTGTGCGTTGGTGCGTGCGTGCGTGCGTGCGTGCGTGCGCGCGCGCGTGTGCGGCGCCCCGCCCTGCGTCCATCCTCGGGCCGCGGGGCCTCCGAAGAGGCGGCGCCAGTACCGCACCGGGATTGAAGATGAGGAGGGGAGGAGGAGGAGGAGGAGGAGGAGGAGGAGGAGGAGGAGGAGGAGGAGGAGGAGGAGGAGGAGGAGGAGGAGGAGGAGGGAGGAGGAGGAGGAGAGAGGAGGAGGAGGGAGGAGGAGGGAGGAGGAGGAGGAGGAAGGAGAGGAGGAGGGAGGAAGGAGGAGGAGGAGGAGGAGGAGGAGGAGGAGGAGGAGGAGGAGGGAGGGAGGAGGAGAGAGGAGGAGGAGGGGAGGAGAGGAGGAGGAGGAGGAGGAGGAGGAGGAGGAGGAGGAGGAGGAGGAGGAGGGGGAGGAAGAGGGGGAGGAGGAGGCCGGGACCTGCTGGGGCCTCGCATGGAAAGCAACAGGAGCGACGATCAATGGTAGAGGGCAGAAAACCCACCCCCATAATTACGCCACCGAGGAACCCAACATACTTATAGTCTGGAGTGATGATAGCTGAAGTGAAACACGCGAGAATGATGCTGGTGGCCGCTGCCCCGCCGATACCGTTGGAGACGCCGGTCAAGAGGAGTGGAGGTCACCGAGGGCCTGTTTCCAGGTTGGCAACAGGCACTTCGGCCACGCAGGACACGGAAAACGATTTTCGTCGAAAAGCCTCCGCCAGCGCCCAATTCGCAAATATCAGAAAATCCCTTTGACGGAAAGTCTCTGGGAGCGTTCTTCGATGGAGAATCTCTGAGCGGGGGCCGCGCCCCGTGCGCATGCCCATCGCAGACTCTGGCAGCGAGAGCGCGCAACGCTATGGCCTGATTGCAAGCGGGCGTAATGGTCTTTCCGCACCCACGCAGGTTAAGGCCTTCGCTTTGGATTCCCTGATGATACCCGGATCTCCTCGATCCATACTTGCATCAGTGTCTCCCACGTGCGCTTGCTGTCCAGGGCGTGGACCGAGGGCTTCGGGTCGGCGCTCACTGGCCAATCGTGATCGGGTGACGCCACCCTCTTCTCGGCCATCCGCTTGTGATTAATAATCTTCCTGACGGCAACCACGCAATGTGCCCATTTTTTCCGCAAAAAATGGTCGTCGCTTGTGGGCTCCGCATGCTCGCGCACCTGCGGCAGCGGAGGGCGCAATCGGCGTCTCTGAAGCTCGCGCGTCACGCGTCCCGGGGAAGTACGCGCAAACAACGCGCGAACCAGCCTCGTGGCGTGGATCACACCGAAACGGGAATTGTAGCTCCGAAGCCTCGACGAGTGCTCAGCACTTGGCACCATGGACCTCCCTTGTCCCAAACCCAAGAGGTTCTCATTCATTGCGAAGGTCGGACTGAACGATCGTGCGCGCTCTGGCGTCTGCACGCGGACTAACACGACCGGTTCGTCGCCCGAGGAACTCGGCGCGTCCCGGGAGGTGCGCGGAGGTGTCATGCTGGCAAGTCTTCGACAATCTATCCTCAGAGGGTAGGCATCAACCTTAAGCTTGCCACGCACTGCGAGCCTGCAACGCATAGCGCCCCCACCCCCAGCGCACCCCCTGTGGCGTCGAGGAAATGCCACGCCTGCCACGCCCTGCGAGCCTGCAACGCATAGCGCCCCCACCCCCAACGCACCCCCTGTGACGTCGAGGATACGCCATTCTTGCCACGCTCTGCGAGCCTGCAACGCATAGCGCCCCCACCCACCCCAAGCGCACTCCCTGTGGCGTCAAGGAAATGCCACCTCTGCCACGCCCTGCGAGCCTGCAACGCATAGCGCCCCCACCCCCAGCGCACCCCCTGTGGCGTCGAAGAAATGCCACGCCTGCCACGCCACGCCTGCCACGCCCTGCGAATCTTGCGCGTATGTGTTGTATGGTGTGCTTGTCGTGTGAATGATGCGTGTGCGGGTGTATCTGGACGTGCGTTTCACGTGGGTGCCCAGCATGTGGTGCACATCTTCCGTGTATGATGCAGTGAACACGCCAGGTGTGCACGATCATTTGATGTTGTGTGTGGCTGTACGTAGACGCGTTTGTGCAAGCGAGAAGGAGAAGGAGAGGGGGAGGTGAGGAGACGCGGGTGCGACGCGGCAGAGAAGAAAACCAAAACCCGACGAAACATGTGGGGAATATACACCCCGACTCGCGAAGCCGTTTAGTGAACGCACCCATTGAAGGAACCGAGCAGGGCATGGCTGCTTAGAAAAAACTCAGGGCCGTTCAGCAAACGCCAATTAGGGGTCCGGGCGGTCTTTCCTCCTTGAAGTAAGGGGTCTTACGCGAGATGATACAGCGACCTTACGCCGCGGCTTGCGCTGGCCGCCAGCGCGGTACGCTACCTGACAGACGACGGCGTCTACGCGCGACCTTACGCGGGCAGCTGACGCGCCAATGTTGGCGCAAACGACCCCGTTTGTTTGCGTCGCTCACGTGTCGTCGGCTGTCTGTGCAAGAATGGAGGCGAACGATGACACGAACATAAGAGCTCGGAGGTCCGCGCCGACCCGAGCAATCCGCGCGGACCTCCGAGCTTTTATGCTTATGCCCTTGCTCGTTCCCCTAACCATCACACCTGAGCGACGAAGGACAACTTGTTCGCCTTCACCGACAATGGCGCGTAAGCTGCCCGCGTAAGGTCGCGCGTGAGCACCCTCGCGTACAGGGTAACGTGCCGCGCTGGCGGCCCGCGTAAGCCACCGCGTGAGGTCGCTATGCCATCTCACGTAGGACCCGTTTCTCTCCGTCGCACACGTGTGCATCTACGGTAGGTTCGTGCGGCGTCGGCGTGCACAAAGGTTTTTGACACCGCGTCGATCGTTCAACCTTGCATCGATCGCGGCCCCGATCGTTCAAAATTGAATTCAGTCGGGTCCAGTGGCGTTACCGTGTCCATCGGTACTTCCGCGTCGCAGAATTCAACCTTGAACACCTTCGCCGGCGTCGCAGGCGCGCCAACGCCGCATGAACCTACCGTACCCCACTCTTAGGGTGTTGAACTTCACCGTTCTCGCACCACTGCAATACAGTCACCAGGGGGTATCTGGGGATTGCCTCGGGACCTCTGGGGCCGCGCTTTGAACACATCATGTCGGTGGATGTCAGGAACGCCGACGACGCCGACGACAGTGACGACGCCGACAACGGCGTCGCGAAAAATACGGCACGGAATGACAATGTTTGTCCTCCCCGAGCCTCGTGACTGTCTAAAAACGACTCGGGGGGCAAAACCAGCCCTGGGGAGAAGGTCTGCACTTCCAGGGACAGGGCATTGGAATAAAATCAACACAGTGTATGTATAGGGACGCAAACGCGTCGACGCTGACAACGGCGCAAACGCTGACGCCGACGGCGACGGCGACGCCGACGACGACGCAGACGCCGACGCTGCGGCGACGGCAATGCGGCGGCGGCGGCTGCGACGGCGAAGACGTCCTGGATCTGGAGGCCTAGGGGGGGTTCCTGGAGGTTCTCGTCGCCGCGGCTGGGCGCAACTCGAAAGAATGGCCATGATGGAACTGGGGACGGGTCTGGAGGCCCGTTTTGAGCCGATTTGTGTTGTCGCCGTCTGCGCCACTGGAAGGAAAGTGACAGTCCGCCAGATGGCACTCGTCGACCTGTTCATGCGCGAGGCGGTGTCTGTGGGGGCCCCAAAATTCCCAAATCACTGCTTGCGACTGAATGGTTCCTATGCGTGCTCTATGGACCTGATTCGTTTGAGCCCTCCTGGCTGGCTGAACGAAAACGCTCAAAAAAGCACGGTCTTGGATACTCCGCCGGGAATCCTGGAGGGCTCTATTGTGGCCTCTGGGAGGCCGGTGGGGTCTTCCGGAGCCTTCCGGGCCGTCTTCGGGTCATCTAGGGTCATACTGGACGCCGTCTTGCGCCAACTGGGACCGTCCTGAGGATATCTTCTGGTCCATCGTGGGGCTCTCTTTGAGTCATGATGCCCTCTGCACCCCAGCACCCCTTATGGCGGAAGTGTCGACGCCCGGGTTCTCTCCCCTGCCATCTCACCTTAAGCGTCGTTCACATGGTTATGCATACGTGTGTACGTATGGATGCACGAGTGTGCATGTCAAAAGAGTGTGCTACGAAAGAGAGAGAGAGGGGGGAGAGACTGATAGAAATCGAGAGAGAGAGAGAGATAGCGAGATCTACCGCCCAGTCTGAATTTACTGGTGATGATCAGAATGCATTGTTGTTATATGCTGAGTCCCACGAAGGCACCACGCATTACAAGTCATCAGATTTCACACTGGCATCGGACGTCATAGTCGCGACCTTGCAGCTCTTTATGAAATCGACCTTTGGAAAATCTTCTCTGACGTAGGAGTTGCCACGCTGGTTGATTTCTTGCGGATTGGGTCCCTCTCCCCAAGGCGGCATGTCCCCGTAGCCAGTATAGATCTTGTCCATGACTTCTAAAGAATGTGCAGCCACCCGGCCAAAAGGGGTTTCCCACGGCGACTCGCCCAAAGGAATCGCGCCCAACGAGAAGAAGACGTGCGTACCGCGACTATTCGGCCCAGAGCCTGCGTAGCTTACCGTGCCACGCTCAAAAGCAATATTCTGCGACGGGTCGTCATCGATGGTTTTACGCTCCCATTTCTGTCGCATGGATGCGTCCGTGTTGATCCCAAACTGCACCAGGAAATTCGGCACAGCCCGGAAGAGCGCTATGTCTGTGTACCATCCGTCCTGCACCAACTCGAGGAAGTGATCAGCACCTTTCGGGGACCACTCGCGAAATATCTCGATATCTATCTGCCCAATCGTGGTGTCGCAAGAGACAGTCGCTGTGGGACCAGCCTGGGCAAGAACTGCCGCCAGGGATGGGCAGATCACAGCGAGCCATCGACAGATCGCTACCATCTGTCTCCAGGGGCGAAGTCGATATTTAATGGTGGGGCCAAGCAGGAGCACGCTCCCTTGAGCCAAAACGGAGTAGATTAAAATGTCAGCGGACGGTTCTAGTACGATGTGAGGGTAATGGGAAAGCCAGACGGAAAGACTCGAGGCCCGACAACTGCCACGCCCCTTGAATCATTGCGAAGACAATCATGCAGGCAATGAAATGCAGGGGCGAGTCTGGTAAATCAGCGGCGGGACCGGGCGACTACACCTGCAAGAAGCATGAATGTTCGCTGTCGCGGATACATAGCGATGTGCATGATATTGATCGCACGTAGCTGCCTACGTTTCTCTAACTATTCGTTACCCATCTTTATGTCTGGGATCTCCTCGTGCGTGACCCCGCTGTATCATTCCAAAGTGAAGGGGCCCTTGGATACACAAATAAATACACACAAATCCCAGGATTCCCCATCTTTCTTCCATACCGATACGACCACCCTTCGGGTGATAAGGAGGTTGTGTGGGGGGGGGTGAGAGGGGGGGGGGGGAACCAACATCTGACTGAATCGATCTCACTCAACGGGACACCACGGGTCACTTGTCGATCTCACTATCGATCCCACTATCGATCTCACTCAACGGGACACCACGGGACACCACGGGCCACCGCGGGACACCACGGGACACCGCAGGACACCTCTCGATCTCACTATCGATCTCACTCAACGGGACACCATAGGACACCACGGGACACCACGGGACACCTCTAGACACCACATTGATCTCACTATCGATCTCACTATCGATCTCACTCAACGGGACACCACGGGACACCACGGTACACCTGTCGATCTCACTATCGATCTCACTATCGATCTCACTTTTTGGGACACCACCTCGGGGCACCATATCGATCTCAGTATCGACCTCGCTATCGATCTCACTATCGATCTCACTATCGATCTCACTCAACGGGACACCACGGGACACCACGGGACACCGCGGGACACCGCGGGACACCGCGAGCCACCGCCGTACGGACGGACGGACGGGCGGACGGGGGAGAATCATTTGTCTTGACTTCGCCCTAGCATCGGCGGGCACCACGGGACACCACGGGACACCGCGGGACACCGCGAGCCACCGCCGGACGGGCGGGCGGGGGAGAATCATTTGTCTTGACTTCGCCCTAACAACGGCGGGTTCATTCCTCTCGCGCGCTCACGCAGCTTCGCCTCGCGCGCACGCACGACACGAATGAAACGAAACGATTTCCCGGTTGGGGGTCTCCGTTCCACTGCGATCTCACCCCCAACCTCTGATGTTTGGGGTTTTCGTCTTCCCCCCTAGTTCCCATATTTTTCCACATGTTCCTGGGGGTCGACGATTCATTGCCTCTGTGTTTATTCCCTCCTGTCAAAGGCCCCCCCCCCCACCCGAAACCGTCGCCAGGATGTGCGTTCTGATCTTCGTTTGCGAACTCGACGGAGCAAGACCACTAAGCATACGGGCCGTTACGGGCCGTTCGGAGGAAGCAGGTAGAAGCATGAAGCTCGAAGGTGGTTCGAGTGCAGTTGCTCGGCTTCGGCCGCCGAAGCAACTGAGGGTCGAAAAGGAGAGACGATCGAGCATCGAAGGAGGGAGGCACCCGAAAACAAAACGCAACCTGGGAGTCCCAGAACACTTGCTTTCAGCGAGCGACGTGGGAATCTCTGAGATCTGGCGGCTCTGGAGGATGTCTCGGGCACCGCGGCCTTCGCTCTGAAACGGACGCGTCCTCGCCCCAGCCCCGTCCGATGCAACTTCCCCACGCGACAACGTCTCCCAGAAGAACTCCGACGCCGTGACCTCTTCGGAACGTGGACCCCTGGAGGTCTGGACCCCCTCCTCCGGGGCCAGCTTCTCATCCTGGGCTGCTTGTTGGCGGCCCCCGCAGGCCGAGAAGTGACGAGACCGCCTGTCTTGACCTTCTTCACGACGAGGGGAGGTGCTGAGCCCATCCGCGGGGGGCGCGCCGCCCGCGAGAGGGCAGGCGAAGAGGGGCAGGACGGCGAAGAGGAGGAGGGGGAGGGAGAGGAGGAGGAGGAGGAGGAGGAGGAGGAGGAGGAGGAGGAGGAGGAGGGGAGGAGGAGGAGGAGGAGGAGGAGGAGGAGGAGGAGGAGGAGGAGGAGGGGGAGGAGGAGGAGGAGGAGGGGACAGCTCCCCGGGGCAGACAAGGAGGTGCTGAACCCATCCGCGGGGGGTCCGGCTCCTGGGCGGCGGCACGCCCGAGCGTCCTCCTCTGCTGGCTGTGAGGCTCGGGCGCGCCACCGCCCAGGGGTCGGCCCCCCTGCGGATGGGTTCTCGGTGGCGGCGGTCTGCGCTGCTCCTGTGACCCGTGAGGACCACCTCGCGTGGGAGCGCGGACTCTGGCCCGTGCGCGGACCACCGCTGGCGGTGGTCTACCCAGACATGCGACGTCCTGATGTTAGCTCATTGGCTCAAGCATCAAGGTTCCGAGGCCGCGTTTTTCAATACGCGGTCCCTGGAAGTCCCGACCATTGTCCCAGGAGCGGTTTTTCGTCCTGACTCGTTGTTAGACGGTCCCAGGGCCCAGCGAGGGAACCCGGAGACCGAAAATGGCAACAAACCTCCCGTCGTGATTTCGTTACGACGCGATCATGTCTGGGTATGCTTCTCCCCTGAATGAAAGGACCCCCCCCCAGGAGGGAGGAGGCGGAGGATGAGGCGGAGGAGGAGGAGGAGGAGGAGGAGGAGGAGGAGGGTGAGGAGGAGGAGGAGGAAGAGGAGAGGGAGGATGGAGGAGGAGGAGGAGGGAGGAGGAGGAGGAGGAGGAGGAGGAGAAATGAAAGGACCCCCACCGCCTCTCGCCGCGGGGAGACATCACGGCGGAAAGTTCTCTGTTGCTCTTGGCCTCCGAGAGCCCTCCGCCAGGCCCTCACCGGGCCGTCACAAGCGGACGCACCTCCGACGCCTCAAAGTTCTCAAGTTACCTGGCCCCTAAGGAGGTCCTCCCTCCTCCTCCTCCTCCTCCTCCTCCTCCTCCTCCTCGTCCCCTCTCCTTGTTACTCCTCCATTCCTTCTCCTATAGATAACTCCTCCCTGTCGCACCCCGAGGCCAGTTTTTAGGGCGGGCCGGGCGTTTCGCCTGAGACTTCCTCACCATCTATGACTCTGAAGCTGAAACAGTGACAACAGTTTCACAAATGGAGTGCGGGTCGTTTTCAAAATGAGGCTCTCGCCTAAGCGCCGCGTACATTCGTTCTCAAAATTTGCAAGAGCTTCACGGATTGAGGGCGGGTGGTTTTCAAATGTGGCTCTCGCCTTAGCGCCGCGCATATTCTTTGTAATAAATACAAGAGTTTCACGAAGTGAAGGCGGGTGGTCTTCAAATGTGCCTCTCGCCTTAGCACCGCGCACATTCTTTGTAAAGCATTACAAGAGTCTCACTGATTGAGGGCGGGTGGTTTTTCAAAATGTGGTTTTCGCCTTAGCACCGCGCATATTCGTTTTCTAAATCTGCAAGAGTTTCACTGATTGAGGGCGGTTCCTTTTCAAAATGTGGCTCTCGCCTCAGCGACGCGCACATTCGTTTTGCAAATTGGCAAGATCTTCACGGATTGAGGGCAGTTCCTCAAAATGTGGCTCTCGCCTTTGCGCCGCGCACAATCGTTTTGACACATTGCAAAAGTTCCACTAGTTCCCATGATCAACGTACCAAACATATTCTTTTGGACAGATTCTGGATTATGCGGGTGCAGTAATTATATGTTGATTCGTGGTATTGAAATTCAGAAAACGCGTTTTGGCATGATTCTGGATCACCAAAACGCAGCAGTCAGGTTGATACGTGGCGTTGGCATCCCGAGAACAATGTTTTGGCATGCTTCAAGATCTTCAAACAGTTGTCTTCCAACGAAGTAGTTCCCTCAATGGAAATGAACCGTTGCAGGGGCCTATGAAGAGGGAGCTTGGAGGGAGGGTTCATTCCAACATCGTTGATGACTCTTGGGCTTACACTGGTCCTCCTCCTCCTCCGCCTCCCCTTCTCCTCCTCCTCCTCCTCCTCTTCCTCCTCCGCCCCCTCTCGTCCACCTCCTGTGCCCAAGCCCAACCCAGTCCGAAGGATGCTCCCAGCCCCGGAAGGATCCTGGGATCACAATGGAGGGCGCGGCACCTGGAAGCGGTCTCCAGCAACCTTGTCCTCGGGCACGAGAACCTCCAGCGAGGACTTTCGCGCCGACGGCGGCGACGACGAGGACGAAAGCAGGCGAACGCATACAAATGCTGGCGCATGCTCTCTTGCCTCTGGGAGTCGCTTTGCTAATTAGTACACGGGCCCTACTGCCAACGAAACGGCATACCGCTTTTCTGGCAGATGCCAAGCGAGGGGGAGGAGGAGAAGGAGGAAGAGCAGGAGGAGGAGGAAGAGGAGGAGGAGGAGGAGGAGGAGGAGGAGCAGGAGGAGGAGGAAGAGGACGAGGAGGAGGAGGAGGAGGACGAGGAGGAGGAGGAGGACGAGGAGGAGGAGGACTGAGCAGAACAAACGGTAACTACATCGTCGCCAATCCTCGCAGGTCCGCGCAGATCTCTCAGGTCGGTTCTGGGTCCTCCACCTGCGGCCTCCGCCGCCGCCCCTCGCGTTTGTTGGGCGCAACGGGAGGAACTCAAGCGCCGACCCATGAAAACCGCGCAGACCTCGGAGAGTTGATGTCTGTGTCGTTTTGTCTTCGAGACTCTCGGGAAGGGAACGCAGGAGAGAAGGAAAGGGGAAAGGGGAGAGGGGGAGAATAGGCAGGAGCGGAAGAGTGCAGAAATGGCCCGTGCATGGCGACACTGCGGCGCTTTTCACACCCTCTCAGCCACCCTCCCTCGCACCTGCCCTCCCTCTCTCCCTCCCTACATCGCTCCCTCCCTCCTCTCCCTCCTCCTCATCATCAACCTCTCCTCCCAGCTTCTTCCCTCCTCGCCGTTCCCTCCATCTGCCCTGCTGCTTCGTTTCCCCCTCGTCATCGCCATCGGCAGAACTTGCGGCAGCAAGCGGGCGAATATCACCCATGGCTCACACGGGCACGCCATCGCGGGAGCAGACGTAGGGAACGCGGGCGAGGCCCACCAGTTGGGCAGGGCAGAGGATGAGGGCGGTTGCTCAGGAGCACATCCTCTCGAGGTTCGATTTGCGAGGCGGGAATACATACACGGTGAGGGCATTTTCTCCGCGT